AGATATATAGTAGATACGTGGATTGCTAAAAGGCTAAATTAACTTTCAACTTTCCAATCTATTATTCACAAGGAAGATATATAGTAGATACGTGGATTGCTAAAAGGCTAAATTAACTTTCAACTTTCCAATCTATTATTCACAAGGAAGATATATAGTAGATACGTGGATTGCTAAAAGGCTAAATTAACTTTCAACTTTCCAATCTATTATTCACAAGGAAGATATATAGTAGATACGTGGATTGCTAAAAGGCTAAATTAACTTTCAACTTTCCAATCTATTATTCACAAGGAAGATATATAGTAGATACGTGGATTGCTAAAAGGCTAAATTAACTTTCAACTTTCCAATCTATTATTCACAAGGAAGATATATAGTAGATACGTGGATTGCTAAAAGGCTAAATTAACTTTCAACTTTCCAATCTATTATTCACAAGGAAGATATATAGTAGATACGTGGATTGCTAAAAGGCTAAATTAACTTTCAACTTTCCAATCTATTATTCACAAGGAAGATATATAGTAGATACGTGGATTGCTAAAAGGCTAAATTAACTTTCAACTTTCCAATCTATTATTCACAAGGAAGATATATAGTAGATACGTGGATTGCTAAAAGGCTAAATTAACTTTCAACTTTCCAATCTATTATTCACAAGGAAGATATATAGTAGATACGTGGATTGCTAAAAGGCTAAATTAACTTTCAACTTTCCAATCTATTATTCACAAGGAAGATATATAGTAGATACGTGGATTGCTAAAAGGCTAAATTAACTTTCAACTTTCCAATCTATTATTCACAAGGAAGATATATAGTAGATACGTGGATTGCTAAAAGGCTAAATTAACTTTCAACTTTCCAATCTATTATTCACAAGGAAGATATATAGTAGATACGTGGATTGCTAAAAGGCTAAATTAACTTTCAACTTTCCAATCTATTATTCACAAGGAAGATATATAGTAGATACGTGGATTGCTAAAAGGCTAAATTAACTTTCAACTTTCCAATCTATTATTCACAAGGAAGATATATAGTAGATACGTGGATTGCTAAAAGGCTAAATTAACTTTCAACTTTCCAATCTATTATTCACAAGGAAGATATATAGTAGATACGTGGATTGCTAAAAGGCTAAATTAACTTTCAACTTTCCAATCTATTATTCACAAGGAAGATATATAGTAGATACGTGGATTGCTAAAAGGCTAAATTAACTTTCAACTTTCCAATCTATTATTCACAAGGAAGATATATAGTAGATACGTGGATTGCTAAAAGGCTAAATTAACTTTCAACTTTCCAATCTATTATTCACAAGGAAGATATATAGTAGATACGTGGATTGCTAAAAGGCTAAATTAACTTTCAACTTTCCAATCTATTATTCACAAGGAAGATATATAGTAGATACGTGGATTGCTAAAAGGCTAAATTAACTTTCAACTTTCCAATCTATTATTCACAAGGAAGATATATAGTAGATACGTGGATTGCTAAAAGGCTAAATTAACTTTCAACTTTCCAATCTATTATTCACAAGGAAGATATATAGTAGATACGTGGATTGCTAAAAGGCTAAATTAACTTTCAACTTTCCAATCTATTATTCACAAGGAAGATATATAGTAGATACGTGGATTGCTAAAAGGCTAAATTAACTTTCAACTTTCCAATCTATTATTCACAAGGAAGATATATAGTAGATACGTGGATTGCTAAAAGGCTAAATTAACTTTCAACTTTCCAATCTATTATTCACAAGGAAGATATATAGTAGATACGTGGATTGCTAAAAGGCTAAATTAACTTTCAACTTTCCAATCTATTATTCACAAGGAAGATATATAGTAGATACGTGGATTGCTAAAAGGCTAAATTAACTTTCAACTTTCCAATCTATTATTCACAAGGAAGATATATAGTAGATACGTGGATTGCTAAAAGGCTAAATTAACTTTCAACTTTCCAATCTATTATTCACAAGGAAGATATATAGTAGATACGTGGATTGCTAAAAGGCTAAATTAACTTTCAACTTTCCAATCTATTATTCACAAGGAAGATATATAGTAGATACGTGGATTGCTAAAAGGCTAAATTAACTTTCAACTTTCCAATCTATTATTCACAAGGAAGATATATAGTAGATACGTGGATTGCTAAAAGGCTAAATTAACTTTCAACTTTCCCCCAAATCTAGATAAACATTAAAATGATATATATATTTACTATTTTATTTTTTATTGATTAATAAATAATAATAGATAATAAATACCTAAATTTTTTACCAAATAAATATAAAAAAATCCAACCCAGCAATACTAATCGAAATTCCTAATTATAAATTGATTCTGTTTTTGGTGATTAGGAAAGCGGCAAAGCCCAAACCAAAAAAAGACTCGTCCGAGGATTCAAGGGCAGACTACCGTGGGACAGTCCATAAAACCAGCCTGTAAGCAGTTCATTCCAGCATTAGCTAGGCTGCTGAGCAGTGGGCAGCATGTGTGATCTATTTTCAAAGCCGGCTATCCTTGCTTTTAATTCAAAATAAAATAATTTATCATGAGATCTGTTATCTTCTTGGGGGGGAAAAAAAAATTTCTTCTTAAATGCAAAGCTGTCAAGTAATGCTTCTTGTCTATCTCTTAAAACCACACAGCACAATAATTAAAACAAAATATAATACTATAATACTAAATAAATTAAAACATGCCTTGTCTAGGTTGGATAGCTGGCAAGTGGAAATGCTTTGTGCTTTGTTTGGTATTGTTTCATCCTAGGATGAAACAATAAAGATGATGTACAATTCTTGTATTTTTTTTTTAATTTTAACATAAATAACTGATCAAAATTTAATTTTTTTTTTTAGGATAACACTTTATTTATTTTGAGACCAAACAAAAGTGAATGTTTGGAAAAATTTAATTTTTTTTTTGTATGTTTTAGATTGTTTTGTTGTGCTGATCTTGAAAATAATTTTTTAAAAATAAAAAATATATATTTTAATATAAAAAAATATTTAAAAAACAATTATAACTATACTCAACTAGGCTTGTGAATAAGTGCCAGCACATGTATATTCTGAATGTCTTAAATATTAGCTTAAGTCATCTTAGATGGGCTCAATAATAGATATGTAGTTCTATCAAACATTTGCTTAGAAAATAAAAACAAATTAAATCCAAAAAAAAATAAGATTATGTATTATTCCTCTCATACAAAATACAAAGAAGGTGGTTTGTAATTTTTATTTTTATTTTTTTAGACCACATTTAAATTTTGTTTTCCTTCTTTGATATAGATATGACCTCGACAAGATTATCAATTATTCCTCTCACAAAAATCAGATACTTGATCAATCTAGTTAATATCAAGTTACTAGAGATGATAAAGAGTGGGGTAGCTTTAAAAAAGAAGAAGGGAATCTCCCTATATAACAAGCAACGCACCTTTCTTTACGTGAGTGTTTAGTTTTTGTGTTATAATATTTTTTTAAATTATTTTTTACTCGAAGAAAATAGATTGATGCTTTTTATTTACTTTTGTATAATTTTTATATATTTATATCAAAAATAAATTATAAAAAAATATTATATTAATTTATTTTAAATTTTAAAAAACATTTTGGAATACTCCACTTCACCCGAACGATAAACGCAGGTAGGGCAAGAGAAATGCTTTTTTTTTAAAAAAAAAAAGAGAAATGCTTTCTGACATTACACAATGTACTTGTTGATGTAATAATGAAATTAGGAGAGCGAGCATCATAATGGGACAAGCATTTAGAGACGTGGGTTAAGGCATCTGGAATACTTGGCGGCCCGAAAAATGCTTCCCCAACAATTGTTTCTCCAGAACAATACAAGAAAAGATTCCGAAAAGCCATGACTTCATACTTTCTCACTGTACCTGATCAATGGTCTTCATGGACTGAATCACTGCATTCTTGTCATTCATAATCATTTGTTCATGAATAAGGAAGTCAGAGAGATTAGTGGGGAAGGGAGGGACGCCATCCAATCCCAGTAAATTTCTCTCTCTTCCCTTCTTGTTTTTTTTCTTCATTTGGGTGGAATCTTTCGTGTATGGGCAAAGTGGGGCCCAAACAAGAAACTTATATACGAGGGAATAAAAATTCCTTGTCGAGAGGTCTTTGTACATTTCTTTTTTTATACACGTGCAATTGCGACCTCGGAATAAGAAACCAAATTATGCTTTGCACTGTGATCTTTTTCCTTCGTTGGCAAGAATAGCTGGTAAACTTGGATTCGAAGTTCTTAGCATATGAAAGAGCAGATTATAACCCCGTGCATTCAATAAATTTGAATTTATTATTTCATCAGTACATTCAATATTTGTATTATTTCATGTTTACCATTGAATAAAGAGATGAGCTCGAAAATAATATATAAAATAAATTGTAGAAAATCAGAAAAAAATGGATTTATATAAATATACTCTTAAAAAAAGTCCTTTAAATAGGTCCGAATATTTTCTTCTTTATGCACGTTTTTATCGAATCAAATTTTTTAATAAATAAATTATGTTTATATATATATATATTAACACCAGAAAAAAAAATTCTTTCTCATGCTAAATACCTTATTTATTCATTTTGACTTTTGCATTTTCAATACATAAATATCAAGAAATCATCTCAAATTAAAATCTAAACTATTTAGTAAATCTCAATGAATGGTGTTTTTTTAATATTACTCTTTAAAATAATACTTTCTCAAATGAATGATTTTTATATTACTCCTTAATATATCCATAAAAGCTTTTTAAACTTGAAATTTAAACACATCAATCAATATCTTATCAATCAATATCATGTATTAAATTTTATTGATTTAATTTGTAAGAATATAGAAAATAAAATCTAAATTATTAATTATTTAATTATTAAAGTTTTATTACCATGTCAAAGAAACATCAATTGTTAGATAAAGTTGACAAGTAAATTTATATTACTTTTACTGTTGAACTGTGATTGTTATTGCTAATAAAAGAGATCACTCCCAAAAAATACAACATATATTTTGTGATTAGAAGACAAACATAACTCTAGCTATATATCCTAGAGTGATTGTGGAATGTTTCTCAAAATAATTAATTTACGGCCAAAGACAGCTCTCTGATCAGCACTCTAAGCTCTTTCATAATGCTCAAAACCTCAAAGCTCCTTGGGTTTTATGCACAAGAACAAGACATAAAACCGAATATATATATTTGCGGTAAATGGGAATCAGCAGGCTGACGTAGAGGGAATGCGAGCAGCTAGGTTATCTCTTGATCGATCGCTTTGCTAATTTATTTAATAAGACTGCTTTTTCTTGATTGCATATTTGGATCATTTGCTAATAAGAAGCCACAGCTATCTGCATCTCTCCTTCGCTGAAAGGAAGGAAACTCACTCGCTTCTGCAAAACAAAACGAACAAAATTGTTTATTCATAAAATATATAGTCCAGACATTACTAGATTTGGGTATTTCAAGCTGAAGTTCGATAATAAATAACAAGAACAGAAATCTTAACTCAAACATTCAATGGTCATGTATAAAAATCAAAAGAAAACATAATAGCTAGGGATGTAAATTAAAATGCTCGGTAATTCAGGGTTTCTTTGTACATTCGAGCCTTAATTAATTAATGGTTCATATACGTACGTTGGCAATTTCTGTTTTGATGGCGTGCTCAACTAAATACTTAGTTATAATCACCAAGCAGCTCGTATAAGATAAATAAGTAAAATAATATATAAATTAAGAATGTATCAGACATTATAACATTTAAACTTTTAGATGAACTCAAATTTAATTATAAAATTCAACAATGGACGACTCGGAGCTTTTCTTTTTGGAATGAATAAAATAAAGAAAGATTTACATCAGAAAAGAAAATTACAAGTTGCATTTTGGTGTATGTGTAATAGTAAATTATCTAGGATAAGTGCATGCATGACGCCATCGACAACGTACAGGCTAGCTATTGGAATTTAAATTAATTGTCAGTCCATAATATTATTTTATTAGTGGCCTGTCGTCTTTTTACTGGGTCTAGGTTTAAACTCTCTAAAAATACTACTTAATTACAAAATAAAATTAAATCCACCTCCATTTGATACGAAAGTCAAATTTTGGTTGAAAATAATTTAATGAAACCGTGTCCCCCAACCTTAAGTCACAAAATTTCAATTAAAACCTCAATTAAAAAGAAAATGTTAACTAGAACCTTCATTAAGTACTTTTATTATTATTATTATTATTATTCTTGTTATTATTATTATTATTATTATACTAGTTCCCTAGCTCGAAAGAGTTCACATTTGCAAATAATCAAACCACATGACGTGAACCAAAAAAATTTCAAATCCCAAAAAATATTTTATAATCGAGACCTCAAATTCATTATATATATATAAAAGAAAATTAAAGGCAAAAACCTGTGAACATGCCACAAAATCAGGATTGATGTCGAAATGAACATACCTCACGTGCCTTAATGATCCCTTGGTTGCCGACTCTCCCGTGGCCGCTCTTCCAATGAACTTGTTGCGACAACCCACTCTCTTGACCATTTTGTGCAATTTCACGAGAGCTATTATTGCTGCCACCTGCGGTGTTTGCTATGCAGAGATCCAGAATCTTAGCAGCCGCCTCAGCCTCATCCTTACTTTCTTGCATCAACTTCTCCACTTCTTCCTTTGGTAATCTCATTTTCACCCTCATTGCACCACGTTTTGCCTCCTCGGAGACAATGCTAGAAGGTTTCATTATCGAAAGATCAGATGTTGATCTCCTAGAGAGCATTAGGCTCTCGAGCCTGTCTTTAGCACTCATGTTAATCCCTGAACGAACCCTTCTTGGAACCCTCTCAGTTGGAGTCTCTGGCAACTCTACTAGGAAGTAGAGCCTTTTTGGCACCAAATCTTGGTGTGCTTCCAATGGCTTTGCCCTAGTACCATAATGCTTAACTGCCTCAGATTCTAGCAAAACATGCCCTGGATAGTCCTTAACTACATCCCCAGCCTTCACTGGTGTCTTGAACTTGAATGTTTCACCATTTATCTTCATGACTTTTGCAGTCTTTTTCCCACCTAAAGTGTTGCCCATACTTGGTATTTTGGATTAATTTCACTCTTTTGAACACACAATTAACAAAATGATCGAACCCTTAATTAATCAAGGTGAACAACGCTCCTTTGTGAATACTTCATACTACTAGGGATCGGATCATATATAAAGCTGACAAAGAGGCGCCTGTGTGGTGGGTGGAAGATAAGGACGCCTCGATTTTGGTTAGTTGTTAATATTACAGTCAACGAAGAAGGCAAGATTTGAAATTGAAAGAGGCAAAAGTTTGACAAATGAAGAAAGTACGTATGTGGTTTGGTTTTCAATATTCCAAGTAAAACTGAAGGGTTATTTTTGTTTTCAGTTTAGTTTAATTATCTTAATTGTGAGGGTTTTTTCGTAGACTAGCACAACGCTTAAAACATAATTCCCAAACTAGCACAGTTCAGGCACTACATGCGTAATTAAATATGTTGCGTGGTTGCTGCCTGGGTAACTCATAAATTTAATTTCTCTCCTTGCATCTACATGATTTCCCAAGAGTTTTTATATATAAAATTCAATATGCATGTTTTTTAAAGTTCTAATAACCATATGAAAAACAAAAACAATCTAATAGCTAAAAAAACAAGATGACATGATATAAAAAACTAGAAATGATAATTCGGTATCATTAAAATATCTTAAAAATATAAATTTATAAAGAATATAAAAAGTTAACCTCAACAAAACAACATGCTTATTTATTGACATTTCATCATCAATTTCAAAGTTGATTTTTCATATTATTTATAATTTTTTTATTAAAATCTTTTTCATGATATATTATTAGAGTTTGATAGATTTATGATATTTTTTATTTAAATTCTTGTTTTTTGTGCCATATTATCTTTCTCGATCTATCAAATTATTATTTTTTTATTTTATAAACTTTTTATTTTGACTTTTGTATATTTACACTCTTTTGAAAGCATGTAGTAGCAAGGAGAAAAATTATAT